ACAAAGCCTCTTAAAACAAATGCACACACTATTAATAGTTTATGATTATATGTCTGGTATTTAATCCTCACAAAATTCTGCCAGAAGGGCAATCCCTACCTGACAGATAAGAAAACTAAAGTTCAAGAAGTTTATAAATAGCTTCTCTCTTCCAGTCAATAAAGCAAAAGGTAAAAATGGGATTCTAATACAGGTAGGTATATTTGGTTCTTCTTTCTCATACTACGTGATAGGCAGAATTCTAAGAATGACTCCTGCCCTTATATTAACATAACCTCCCCCCCCCTTTAACTGTGGGTGGAAATTATGAATCTGATGAAAGGTCACTGGAATGATTATATAACATTCAATGGCAAAAGGGAGATTAGCTGATGACCTAATCTACTCCCTTGAAGCTTTTTAAGTCAGAGATTCAGAACACTACAAGGACTCAATGCACCTTGCTGCCCTGAAGGTGGAAAAGACCACACGACCAAGAATTCATGCAGCCTTTAGAAGTTGAGAGCAGGGCAACACCTGTGGCTCAGGGAGTAGGGCGTTTGCCCCATGTACCAAGGGTGGCAGGTTCAAACCCAGCCCCGGCCAAAACTGCAACAACAACAACAACAAAAGTTTATCCATTAGAAGTTGAGAGCAGACCACAACTGACACCCAATTAAAAAAAAGAAAAAAAAAAAGAAAACAGGACTGCAATTCTACAAGGAATTGAATTCTACCAATAATCCAAATGAATTTAGAAGAGGATTATTCCTCAGGCCCTCCAGCCCAGTCCAGCCAGCTTTTAGCTTTCAGACATGTGATATCCTAGGCATAGAACCCAATTGAGATGTCTGACCCATAAACAGTGAGATAATAAATAGATGTTTTTGCAAGTGTGGTAAAACACACTAATATAAAATTTACCATTTTAACCATTTTTAAGTATATAGTCCAGTGGTATCAAATACATTCACATTTTTTGCAACTATCATCACCATGAGAGAACTTTTTCATCTTCCCAAAATGAAACTCCATACCCATTAAATACTAAGTCTCCATTCCCCCCACCCCTACTCTCTGGAAACCACCATTCTACTTTCTGTCTCTATGAATATAACTACCCTACGTATAATTGGAATCATACACTATTTGTGTTCTTGTGACTGGCTTGTTTCACTTAGCATAATGTCCTCAAGATTCATCCATGTTGTAGCATGTGTTAGAAATACTTTTCTTGCTGAAGGAGAATAATATTCCACTGTACATATGTACCACATTTTGTCATCCATTCATCTATGGATGGATACTTGGATTCCTTCCACCTTTTGGCTACTGTGAATAAGCCTTCTTTTAACATGGATATACAAATATCTGTTTGAATCCTTGCTTCTAACTCTTTTGAAAAAATATATATTAAAAGATATACACTCACATATATGATATATATACTCATTTATATAATAATATGTACGCTCATATATATATAAAACCAATTCATTATCTTGAACATTGGGTAAGTAAAAGAAAACAATAAAGAAATCATTCTACTTATTTGTACTACTGGGTAACCAAGTAATAGATGAAGAAAAGTGTCTCCTATAAAATTATTTCTGATAAAAATTAAAACAAAATGACAGACTTGAACAGGACAAAAAAACTAGACACTATGCGCTTCCTGTTAAAAAAAAAAAATACACCACCATCTAGTCTTACCAAAAGGATCAAACCTGAATCTTATCCAGTCTCTGGATTCAACCGCCAATGTACAACAAAAACAGAGGACAGAGGAACATGCTGAATTGTACCAGTGTGAAATCAGTAAAATCTACACTACGGCAAACTCGTAGAGGTCAAAGGGTTTTGATTCCTCATTAAACATATTATAAACAAAAGACATAAAGCTAAGAAAAAATAGGCAAGATAAAACTACAGAATTCAGGGATGCACATTTTGGTGATGAAATTATAAAGAAATGCAGGAAGTCTGGGTACGGTGGCTCACACCTCTAATCCTAGCACTTTTAGAGGCCCAGGCAGGTGGATTTCTTGAGCTCAGGAGTTGGAGACCAGCCTGAGCAAGATCGAGACTCTGTCTCTACCAAAAACAGAAAAAAACTAGCAGGCATAGTGTTGCACACCTGTAGTTCTAGGTACTCAGGAGGCTATAGCAAGACAACTGTTCAAGCCCAAGAGTTTGAGGTTGCTATGAACTTTGACACGATGGCATTCTACCCACGGTGAC